TCATTCATTCAACATTGAATGCAAGATAAATATCTTGCTTTTAGGGTTTAGGGTTTAGGGTTTAGGGTTTAGGGTTTAGGGTTTCTATCGAGGCGTTTACTATAGCGAGAAAGTTTTCATAAACATAACAGCGGAGCCCTGTGCTGTTCCTGCTGTTGCAGTTAACGTAGATAAACTATACAAATAACTGAACGAATTTATAGAGGAAACCAAATATCTAATGATATTATAATATATATATGTATAATATATGGTGATATTACACTATATAGATATATATCACACATATAAGTACTTAGCCTATTGAAAATTCTGGTGCCCGCAGGAATTCCATATATTTCTTAATGTAATAAAATTCAACTTTTTTTTTTCGTTTCAGAGCTATACCACCATCGAATCCTACGTAAACACGAATACAACATCTTAAAATATATATATATATATATGTATATATATATGAGATATTCTTTCATGAAATATACTGTTTGTGTATAATTTTTCAGAGTTTCCTTCTTTTTCAACCGGTTGAGTTGATCCCCAGGGCATTACAACTGGCTGCATTTCCGCTGTGATTTCCGATCGATTTTCTCTGTTTTTTTAAGTTTTTTAATATTTGTATGATTAATTTTATTTCTGTGCTGCAGTAATATTGGTATTAGAGTGAAAATATCCTTCTACAACAGACCAGTGGTCATCCAGTACATCTCCTGTTCATGTATGTGTTTCAGCTAGCTAGTTTCCTCTCGCAGGGAGAAGAAACTGATAGAGATAATATATTTTCATATTCAAACAAAGCAATCCAAGCATTGTTTGTAGATGAAAATATATTATCTCTCCAATTCAACTTTCATGATCACGAGCAGAGTAGAACCTGATGCTACTCTTGACGCGCTCTGGCTCTGTTTCTAAAGAATAAAAATCAAGAGAGAATGCTTGAAAAAAAGTGTTTATGTGTATTCACTATATACGAACAAGTTGCTGTTGAGCTGCTGCTGACACCAGCCAGTTATACTCAGTAGTTGAACACCAAGAACTCACCGCAGTTTTCTTTGAATTTGAAATTCAATTGAATATAAGGCTAAGAGCAGCTGAAACCAAAAAAAAAAAAATATTATTAGAGCTGCAGCCGTTGCCTTTCACAACATATCATCGCAGTTCATGAATTGTTTCATATTTTTCAGAAAAAGTTGAATATGAATTTGTAGATATACCGCAGAGAAAGCTGAAATGCGGGCGCAGGTTCCGCGGAAACCTCTCCATCAATCAACGATGAGAAACATGAACAATCTCTAGAAGTAGTATTTGATATTCTGGTTAAAAATATTTTCATAAATTTTATTTAAATTTCAGGATCACCCCGGGGTGTTTCAGTGTACTGACGAGGATGAGTTTGCTTTCTGCTGCTACGCAGGAAGCTGAGGAAACTTGAATTGTTTTAGCGCCTCGATGAGCTGCGTGGCGATATAATGCGTTTTAAACCATTTTGTAAGCAGTGCCAGCCTCGGCACTGCTCAATTTGGATTTTTTTTTCGGTTGAGAGAATTTATTGCAGCTTTCTGTTTCGG